AAAAAAAAAAGCAATCCCCGAGAGTTTTTCATTAAAAAAAAAAAAAAAAAAAAAAAAAAAAAAAAAAAATAGCATTCAGTAAAGAGATTCAAGTGATTTGCATAATTCTTCCAAAACATATACATAGCTTCTGGACAAATGTCAATTTATAAAGGTTCAGCCAATAGGCATGCATGGATTTATCAGACTGAAATGACTGAATAGATAAAGCTAAAGGGAACATGCCTCTTTAGACATGGCTTTGATAAAATTATATTAAATCCATTCATGAAAGTTGATTTTGGCAAAAAAAAAAAAAATCTTATCAAGCTGCATGGTACAGAAAGTTAAATATGTCTCAAAACTTTACCAGACAAAAAACAACAAAATCCTTATTTGTTGTATAATTTTGGTGTGACTAGGATAAAGTGTGGCCCATGCTCGTCTAACACAGTTAGCAGAACAGTAAGGGAGCCTAAAAGAAGCATACTGGTAGAGAACAGTCTAATAGAAACTTACCAAGTCTTCATCATTATCTACATCCTAACTAGTCATTTGATAGGATGATAGGGGAAAAAAGTCTTTTGAGTTCTTCCACCAAAAATGTAAACCCCAGACTTTACTGGGGGTTGCAACTTTCTGCAAAGACCAGATGAAATTAAACTTGAGCTCTTCTGTAAAAATCGTTCCAATGGATCTAGGATTAAAAGAAAAAGGATAAACGTGCAAAAATCAAATGTCCACTGGTAAGAATGATGGTCAATCTGTGATTAAGCTGACTTGTCTCTCCTCCAAAGTGTCTGTGTGAAACCTGTTAGTGAGTATGCAAATTATTTAAAATACCAAGAAATCTTCAATCAAAGCAATCTGAAAATGGGTTACCATTGTGTCTTTCTGTACGATAATGATTCAACACATCAAATCAGAGATGCTTCACCAGACACAAATAAAGCTTCTTTTATGGCAATCTTGATATACAGACTGAAATTCTAATCAAAACATGTGAAACAAGCTGAAGACAAAAGCATTACAAAATAAAAACTAACAGTGAACATTTTGGCAGTTTTAACACACAACGTTGCACAGCAACTTCAGAGTAACATACGCCGACGCGAGGATAAAATCTCGTCAAGCATGTCTGCATTTTTCAACAGGACAATGAAAAAGCAGATTCTGCTCACATTACAAAGCCATGCCTGAGGAAGAAGAGGGTACGACTGCTGAAATGGGCTGTCTGTAGTCCTGAGCTGTCCACAACAGAGAATGTGGGGGGATTCAGAAACATGCCTCCACCTAAAATTGCACGTCTAAAATGACCTGTGAAACTGAAAGGACATAATTAATTATGACACATTTATTACCATAACATAACGAGCCTTAATGTCAGGTTCATTGTATTATCATGCATATTTTTGTTGGTTTCGAATGGATAAATATATATTTTTTAAAAGATTGAAATAAGTTAAAGTGCCACTCAACTACGTTTGCAATTTAAAAATAGCTAAAAGAAATTCTTCTCTATGACTCAAAACTTGGAGTTTTATGAGGTGCTGCATTTCTCCTTCTGGTAACAGAAAGAAGATAAACATTTTCATCAGAAACAGCTTTTGGAATTTACTGGTTCTTCTGCCTATTTAGAGAAGCCACACCAAGGCAGAATGACGAGGCAGCTTGATTCATCAGCATTACTGGCAGAGCAGAGTAACTTTATTATAACAGATCTTATCTCGTCTGCCCCGCTCCCCATCCAAAGACTTCGGGTCTTGTTTGCTCTTTCGTCTTCGTCCAACTTGTGTCCAGAGGGCTTGCCGTGTTGCTGCTTGTTTGGAAAGAGATGGAGCGGCCAGATGGGTGATATACACACACACTAACACATACTTACACAGATTCTGGGTTAAGATGACATTTGGATCAACCTTTAAACACTGGCAGCCACAAACAGGCAGCCATTAAAACAGCAATCTGGGGACACACAGGTTCTTTTAAATAAGAAACACGTTTATTGAATCATCAGTGTCAGAAAAGTTGGATATGACAAGATAAAGACAGAACTGAGTCTGCATTTTGCTTTATATAAAAGTAAAACAAACAAAGAAATAAATTATTGCTCTTTTTGTGACTTGCAGTGTATTGCAGTGTATAAACACCAACATTTTTATTATAATTAAACAAGTATAGCCTTCTGCTTTTCCTAAATGTGGATAGAATTAAGCTAAACTGTTGAAACGACATTATCTGAAAGATAACACAGTTTCTATGTCTCTACTTCCATCTTGTGGAGATTTATGATATAACACCTTCAACAATTGCAGCAACAAAGTCAAAAATAGCTGTTGTGTTCAGATTTTTGTGATCTTTAACTTCAGATAGAAGCAAAAGTCCAGACGGAGGAGCACCCACTTAGAGTCAGTTAAAAAACAAAGTAAATAAAAAAAAAAAAAAAAAAAAAAACAGGTTTTCAAGTGAGCAGTCACAACACACACACATACAAAAATCAGGCTGCAGCAAGTTCTGGGCTGTTCAGTTCAGGAGAAAAAACATCAGGAATCCATAGTGGTGATATGCCTTTAAAACTGAAACCATAACAAAAGAAAGAAATATCACACTTTAGAATGTCATTAAAGTTAATAAAAAAGAGAGAGATGGAAATGGATCTCACAAAAAAATGAAAGAATAAAAATTCACTTGCCTATGAGTAAAAGGCAAGTGAATTTTAGGTGATAATCAGAAGGAATCATTTTTTAACATGAAGCATGTGACAGAATTGGCAGCTCAGGCATCTGTTTTGAGAAAAAAAAATGCAACATTTACAGAAAGAGTAATCTGTGCTTCATATTTCACATTATTCCAATAAACACGGATTATAATCAGAGGTGGTTGAATCTTTTTAAAATCTGATAAAGCTACATCAAAACAAACTGCTTGCTGTTTTTGAATTTAGTTAAATTAACAACACTTTTATAAATCCCAAAATAGAAATGGCAATGCAAGATCAAAAGAAAATACTACATATTTTTATTTAAGAAATTTCATTTAAATTAATTAAACCCATTATTATTATCATCATAATAAAAACAAACAAATTCTCACTTTCATTGTTTTTTTGTTGTTTTTTTTTGCATTTAGCACGACAACCGACTGATTTATTTTTATTTTTATACAGGCACTTTTCAAGTAGCCTTGCCAAATATATCACACCCAGGGGCTTTGATGAATCCAAAGTAAATACTCACTGACTGACGGTGGTTATAATGTAATGCCAAATCGGTATGTAACATGGAGTCCGTGTGCAATAAATACTTTGGCCACTGGGTGGCAGCACATGCAAACACGTGAACGTCCTCTTTACACAACGTCGTTACAAAACACTGCATGCGACTTCTATGTAACAGGCTTTGTGTCTCAAGCTTACATGATCACAGTGTCTCACAGAAGGTAAGTCGTGGGTAATCTGTAAGAAAGATGCTGTTAATTATTATCGGCATTAGTGCAGTTTCAGAGTTTGAGTCTAAACTGTAGTAATGATCAGTGTATTTAAATTGTCTGTTTTTGAGTTTAACCGCACTTTTCTGAGGAAGTCTATGTTTTCAATCTTTGACTTTTCTGAATGTTTTTACAATGTTTAGCAAAATAGTACATGATTGACACTGACTCTTGCGCTGTTCACCTACAGGAAGGAGCATTTTTTTAAGAACTATGAGGTCCATCATCTGTATGTCAGCGTCTGTCAGGACGGCATGCCAGCAAGCCTCTGTGTGTTTTCCTCTGTACCGTGGCCTCAGTCTCTGCAACTCTTCAGAAAGACTCACAGACATTGAATTTGTCAGTAAAACTGTCATTGCGGAACAGCCACGCATAATCGATCCGCGCTATTTCCAAAGAGAAAATACGCGGCCCGCCGCAGCTGGCGTTGCCCTGCTCCACAAGGTTCCAGCAACTGCAACCCGACGCAATGAAGCGACCCCCTGCCACACTGATGCGCACTTGGCACACAGACCTGCAGAGAGAGCAGCCCAACACCTCTCTTCATACACACCCTACGCCAAAGCACAGAGAGGCGCAGCTGCACATGTAAACATCCAGTCTCTGTTTGAAGAGGATGTCATCACCGAGTTGTGCTCCAAGCTGGCAGACTTTCCAATCAATGACAGAGCAGAGGGCCTGGCCACTTTACTGCAAGCATGTGTTGAGTTTGGCTTGGAGGCCCAGAGCCCTCCAGTCCTGATCCTGGTGAAAGAGTGCCTGGAGCTGCTTCCCAGCAGAGATGTCGGGGTGACACAGCTCTGCCAACTAGGAAAGGTGGCGTGTGCCCTGGAAGGCCGTGGTTCCGGCCTGGTGACAGAGGTCATGAACTCCATCAGCTGCGCTGTAGAGGATGCTGTCTCTCCCAGTGAGGCTGCAGCAGTTTACTCCCTGCTGACAGCGTTATATGAGCCCAGCTGCCAGCAGCAAGCACTGATGCTGTCTGTCCTGCACAGACAAACTCAAAGACAGATCCACAGGCTGAAATCCAGCCAAGTCAGTGACATTCTGCAATGTCTGCTGAAATTAAAGCAGAAACAGGTAGGGACAAATACAGAAGGAAACTACAAACTAACCCTAACCAACAGGGTGCTCCCCCAAGAGCACTATAACTCTCAAGTCAGATTTACGCATGTAAATTTGATGCATCATTAACTATCGTCCAAAACACAACATGTGATCCTTGATTTGAAATGCAAATCAGTGTTGTAAGACTGCTTTTTAAAACTTTTTCTTGCTAGAAAGACTCAAATTTTGTTTGGGCTGTAAACAGAATGTTTATTTCTATTGAGATCCCTGTTACCATCAGCTATTCTTCCTAGAGATATTTTACATAACAAAGACAGATTACATTTACAAGAAGTACAGATGAGGTACTAAAACAACATTCTATTTTCCATCACTTTTAAAGAGATGCACAGACTTTAGTTTAAGCTGGGTGACAGTTTAGATTTCCCTTACATAGAAAAATATATATATTTTAATTTAAACTGTAGTCTTCTTTGTCTTATATTAGGGTTAGGTATGAAATTCTCATGCATCAATGACATGGAAATGTGAAAACATTAAGACCACATCCATGCTTCAACGAACTCTTGACACATTTTCATTTAAAAATAAAAACCTTGAAATGCTTCCATAGATAATGCATGTGACTTGCAGTATTTGGTGTTTTGCTTACTATTATCTCTTTGAAGTAGTGTAGAAAACCCCTTCGCTTATACTGATGCTATGGTAATTGTCTGTTTCACAGACCATTTCCTTGGCGCTGAGGCTGAGTCACAGAGCGTCACAGGTCTTTACAGCTTTCAGTGATGATGAAATAATCAAGGTGCTCTCCACTCTAATGACTCTGGGGCAACATGATGGAGAACTCCTGGCTGCTATGGAGAAACATCTACCTGGTATTCTTTTGGAAAACAGCTTTAGGTTACCTTATCCCGGCTGTTTAGATTTTAGTCTTAATTCTTTGACCTCTAGAATATTTGCGGGATCACTAGATTAAACAAAGACAATGTGGACATTTCTTTCATCCATCAGAGAGGCTGGGAACGTGTGATCCAGAGCTCATCAGTAAGGTCATGGAGTACTGTTTGCAAATGAGGTGCCGCTCTGAGCCCATTTTTGAGGCTGTGGCTGAGAACTTTGTGTGCAGTGCTGAGAGCCACACCGACACACAGATCGCCAAACAGGTTGTTGCTATTGGCCGACTCAACTACCTGCCACAGGTGAGCCTGTTGGTTCTGTTGTAATACAATAAATCCATGTTTCTCATTGTTTGTCTTTAAAGAAAAAATAATAAGTATGCCCTCTCTTTCATGATTATAGCATTGCCATCTCCTCTCATATTGCTGCTCTTCTTTGTCCGTCAGTGTTCCAGTCAGATGTTCAAAAAGCTGGAGGACGTTTTGACGAGCAGATTTTCCCACCTCCACCCTCGCTCTCTACTGGATATGCTGCACGCCTGCATTCACCTGGAGCGCTTTCCTCTCAACTACATGAACAACATCTTTAGCCCTTACTTCCTACAGAAGCTGCAAGGTATGTGAAAGCCTCAGACTTACTTCTGATGGACACAGTGAGAGGGAAAGTCCCACTATTCGTCCATGCTAAATTGTTGCATGAAATTTCTGTTCTGTTAAAGAACATTATTTTTAAGATCTGGAAATTTGATCATATAACATTATGTAATGAATTAATTGATGAAAATGTCCACTAAATTACAGTAATATTTGTGACAACTTTAGGACAGCAGGTTGTCTTTTCTTTTCACTTCATAATTAAGCACTACTTTCACATGAAATGCAAACAAAATGCACCAAATTAGAGGTAGTTATTAGTTATTCAATGCCTTACAAATGCAATCACAAATTGCTACACCCCAAAAATGAACTAGTAACACAACAGACAAAATGTATGTGCTTAATAATCCTTTTCATTCCTAAAGACAAGGGCGAACCTGTGGACAAGAACGCTTTGGGACAACTGACACAGCTTCATCTCTCTGCCTCACTAGAGTGTACATACTACTGGGTGAGTTTGAAGTTTTCTGCGACACTGTGAGAGTTTATAGTGACAATAGTTTATTTGTGTTCAGAAAACCTGATGGAGATGATCTCCATAGTAAAGGTGTAGTGTTTCTCCCCCTTTTGTTAACTCTCAGGGTCCCAGACTTCCCTTCTCTCTCCATGTGAAGAAGTTTTCCTCTTTGGACCAGGCCTTTGAGAGCCCTATGGAGACATCGCTCTACAGACAGGTCAAAGGTCCACTTATGCAGCTGCTGGGGGGTACATTTTTCATTACCAGAGTTTTTACCCCCATTGGATACACTGTAGGTAAGCTGCAATGACATAATTTAGGTATAAATAAGGAGCAGCGATATCACACTTAGAACTTATTTTACTAACCAATGTCTGATAAAAGTAAAATCCTAATGAATTGTTATTCCAAGATTATTTACCAAATTTAATATCCATGTTGGGAACTTTTAAAAGATAATATTTTTAAGCACATATTGAACAGGGTAAAAAGATTTAATTGATAACAAACTGACAAAAAAAAAATAAATAAAAAATTAACTTATTTGTAGAATAACATTTTGTCAGGACTGCCCCTGTCCATGCTTCACTGACCTGTGCTTGTCATGTGTGTTGAATGTTTTTTATCTAGATGTAGAGATTTGTCTGGATGAGAATGGATTCATTCTTCCCCAGTCTCAGTGGGAACACACATACAAAAGGTAAGAACTGTGTGTCGTATGGAGCTGTTTGGTGTTATTGTTTTTAAAGTAATAGAAAGAGAATGAAAATGTTTAAATTCTTACATAGAATTGCACTGTGCTTGGATGGGCAAAGCCGGTTCTGTACCAACACACGACACCTGCTGGGGAAGGAAGCCACAAAGAGGAGACACCTTCATAGGATGGGGTATGAGGTGGTGGAGGTATGTTTTGCAAACATTGTGAAAAATAGTTGTTTTTTTTATTATTATTCCTTGCCAATTTTCAGCTGATTGTTAGTGAGTAAAAGCATAACCCACAGTGTATATTTGTTCCCTTTTTCCTCTTACTGTCTTCTAGATCCCTTACTTTGAATTTGAGAATCAGAGAACTCAGGAGGAGCAGGTCCAATATCTTCATGACAAGATCTTTCCTGCTGTCTCCAAATTCAGATTAGGTCATCTTACAAGTTAAAAACAAATGTATCCATGCTGTGCCTGTTACATAAACCACACTAAACTGCACTGACCGGAGAGCATTTACAACTGATAATTATAAAAAAAGAGAGGGATTCGTAGTGGTAAATAAACAAAAAAGGGAGAAAGAAACAGGGTTTGCACTTTTTTAGAGGCTATTTATTGGCTTGCTTTTAACCTAAACTGTACATACCAACTAGCCTTACATTCAGCACAATAATGTATTTAAATATTATAAATCTCATATCTTTATTTTTTCGAGGAAGACTTGCAGTTGGAGTATTTCCAGTCTTCTTCTATTACTGTACAAGTGACACTTGAACTTCATGGATTGTTATAAACATTGTTATGTGAAATGCTCTTTTTTGTTTTTCATTGTGTTTATTGATAAATTCCAGCATAAATGATAAAATGTAAAGATTTTCAATTGCCATTTAAATTAAAAGGTTTAAAATGAGATTGTCTCCAACAACTTATTAATTTAAAAATTATTTTAATGATATTTTGGGGCTACATAAGGATAGAAGAAATGCTGATTTTTACGTGGGGTGGATCCAAAAGAAAGCAGTAGAGGGATTTTGGCTTGTTGAATGATGTGTAGGTTATGACAGTTGAGGCCCGACTAGCTCCTTTCAGCAAACGACGTCCTGCTCCTAACAGAACACAGAACATATAAAGTAATTTTGTCCAACTATTAACTGAGCACTAATGCAACAAGGAGCACATTGTAATCACCTCGCTGAGGAAGAGGTCGATAATTTCCTCCGGGGGTGTGCCGAAAGGCTCAGCTCTCCAGTCACAGCTTCCATCATTAAGTTCTGGAGCGTCTTTAACAAAACAGCCTCAGCCAAGTCAGAAGGAGCATGCTTGGACTCCGCTGTGGCCTGGATTTGAGGAATTTTCCCTAAACATACTGCGGCTTCTTCTCCATCTACTGTCCAGCTCGACTGAACAGAATGTTGAGGTGAAGATGGAAGCGTGGAGGAGGGAGACGTAGAGGTCTGACACTCGTAGATTGGAGGGCTGGAGGCTAAAACCATCAAAGACTTGGCAAAAGCTGAATCATCAAGGAGCTCTCTGGAATGTCAAAGAAAAATAATAATAAAAAAAAAAACATTGTGAAAGAGGAAGTTAACATACGCAGAGTTGTTTTTCTTTGCATGTTACCTGTAAAGAGGAGTGAGTATGTCCACAACGATGTCTCTCTCAACGCCACATGTTGATGGACACAGCTTCGCAAGGCGGCGTGTGCTTGAAGAATTGGTTAATGTTTGTTTGGTCCTAGTCAACTGAAGGTATCTACATAAAACAACAGCATCAAATAATAACAGACTATTTCACAACTGTCAAAGCTTCACAATTAAAATAAGACTTCATGTAGTAACAGACATTTCTCATCAAAATGCAGTGATTCAGCTATACTCAGTGTGTAAAAAAAGATTAGCCATAATGCTTATTTTACTGATCAGGAAAGTGTGTGTAGAAGTCCGGAATGTCATAGGTGTGGGCAGTGACACTCAGGTGCAGCAGAGCGGGTCGGGGCGGCTGGGGGCGTCTCCATATTTTAGCTGATTCTCGCTCTAGCCGTGTTTGAGCTTTCTTATTTTTGTCGTATAAATTGCCGACGGGTTCGCTGCCACAGATTGGAGGAAGAGTCTGAAGCGAGAGCAGATAAATTACACCATTCTGCACTTTTTCTTCCAAAGACCCATGTTTTCACATTATATTCAAAAAGCAGCTACATTACTAAGATAGACCCTAATCACCTTGTATTTGCGGAGGGGCGCCCCTTTTCTTGCAGGAGGTGCGAGAAGTATCTGCATCAAAAACGAGATATTGTCAAGACAGTGAAACGATTGTCGTGGTTTAACCAACTGTCTTTTGAGACGCACCTCATCTACTAAAACTCTTTGAGTGCGGGAAGGGATCTTGTCTGTGATTGTGAATTCGTTTTGCTGTCGTTTCTGTTCTTCCTCCCAGCACTGCAAGGCTTTGTGATAATGGATGAGTGCAGCTTCTTGAGTGATCTGGAGAAGAAAGTGACACAAATAGGGCTAAAATAGTCAGATGAGCAGGTAGTACACTTACATCTAGTGTCTGACCATTTGCCACCAACAGTGCCTGGAAAAAAGCATTCATACTTCTTGAACTCTTCCACATTTTATCCAGTTAAAATCACAAACAATTTGTGTAATTATGTAGCGAAGGGAAAATATGTTGTGTAGCATGAAAGTGTACAATCATTTTTACCTTTTGCGGTTTGTCCCACCAGATTTTCACATCAGGAGTCTCAGATGTTTGCCAAATTTACAAACACACAATTCGTCAGATTGAACAAAAAGTTTTGCAATAGCCTGATGATGTTACTGAATTATGGCTGATATCTTGATCTGGTAAAGTGCACTAAAAAGTGATATTGACATTCTTTGTCCCTTTTAAGTATTGTCACTTCCACTCCACAATTATGCATTACTTTGATGTTGATATATTACTGGTACATAAAATCCCCAAAGTATATTGAAGTTTGTGGCTGCAATATGACAAATGTGCAAAAGTTTGCCAGGGCGGTGCACATCATCCTTAAATCTAGAGCTACACTTTGGTACCTGACATATGAGATCTAGCTGGTAAACAGTGGGGCAATCAGAAACGAAGGTCAGGATGCACATAGCACACTCTCCTGGACAAAGACAGCCTCGCTCTGGATGGATCTGCACCACCTGCAATATAACACATGAGTGAGAGAAAAGTTGCTTAGATGGGGTAAAATTATAACGTAATTGTTTTGTTTGTTTAAAAAGATTTAACTGGTTGGACAAACTTGTTGGTTGCTCTGTGTAGGAATCTCCCAGACAAAGTACACAGTTTCTGTGTAAGACAAACTGGTGATGAACAGGACTCTCGAAGACTTTGTGCAGACAGGGATATCACCAATAAAGACACTGTCCGTGGACAACAAAGCCACCTGGATTTGGAAAACTCCAGTAATTATATATTCAATGAAAGTAACATATTTTAAGAAGCACTGATTGGATCTTTTCTTTACAAAAGAAAAAAAAAAACACAGTTTGAACACAAACTGTGTGTATAAATGCACTTGCCTGTCCTGGGAATGGCCCCTTCTGGGCGCAGTGTTCGTGAGTCTTAGCATCGCTGTACTCAATGGAGATATTGGCGCTTGTTGATAATGCATCCATCCCACATCCCTCAAAGTTTATAATTACCGAATCCCTTTCCAGGATGTGGATGGGAACATCAATCTGTCCATAATAAAAATAAAACTATTTAATAAAAATTTAACCAAAAATTGCAGTAATAAGCTCTGATCACCCATTAACTACAAGGCTAATGGTAAATCTACATGGAATATGAACTTGAAGCAAGGTAAACAACACATGGTTTGAGTTATACATGGTACATCTTAGCCTCCAGTGGAGAGAAGATCCATTCGAGCATGGCTTTATTCCCAGGGAGAACTTCTCCTTGTGGACTGAGGCAGCTCAAGACTGGGTGATCGTAGTTCTCCATCTGAAGCTGTGACAACACAGCTTGGTCCACTTCATAATGTACTGTCACCGCACCACCATTGTACAATTCATATATCTAGACAATTATTAAATGAAAAAGTTAAGATATTTCTCAGAAACTTTATTCAGAGTGGGGCTGTAATGTCAAATAATTAGCTTTTTTTTATTTCATTAACAAAGCTGAAATAAGTTTTGCATTTTTGATTAAAACAATGGCATGCCTGTCGTGGAGGACTGGAGTCCCGAATAGCTACAGGCGTGAATACATGGTGATTGGAAACAAAGTGTAGATATGGTTCATTTCGGTTCAATGTCACTCCTTGAAAGTTTAGCTGCACACAGAAAAGGCACAAAAATTAACAACAGCATCCCTGAAAGAAAGCTTTGATCATGACGGCAGTGTTTTTTTTCAGCTGTGATTGTTTATGATGTGGTTGTTTTTACTGCATTTGATTTGCCTCAGATCTGAGCATACTGTCACAGAGATGTCTGGCCTTTCTAGTTATAAGTTGAAAAGGCAGTAAGGCTTCATGCCCATAAATTGTACCAAAACAAACTGGCAACAAAGTATTTATTATAGGCAAAAGTTAGAATTTCACTTACGAAAAAACCACAAGGATGCCCCCAAAATGTCAAAATTCAGAATTGGTCATTCGAAGTTCAATAAAATAAAGTTAACCGTAGGAATACTTACCAAAAACTCTCTGCCAAGACTGAGTTTGAACAAAACAGGAAGTCGGTCAATTCCAATAAAGTCGTGACTGTGAATGAAAAGATTTAAAAGGTGTAATCTGATACTTTATCATGGCTAAAACATTTGAGAGAATAGCTTTTAAAAGCTTACAGCTAAGCTCTATTTACAAGAAAGAGAACCAGTTGTATAGTGAAATGACCCCTGACCTGTAGCAGAAGTGAACTGAGCTCTTCTGGCCTGGAAGCAAAGTTCCAGAACGAGGGGTAACTCTGAAGAGCTGATTGTCTTGTACCTGTAAGTAAACAAAACAAATATAATAAATGTGAAGATATAATGATATAATTGTAGTTTTTCATACGATCAGTATCTTTAAGGTATTTCATTTATTGTTGAAATGTAATGACACTCCTTATAATCTTTGAGGCAATGCATATGTTGAAGCCTGACAGAAATAAACTCCTTGGTTGGAAAGACATAACATTAACTCTAAGTCTAACAGGGGTAAAAATAATAACCAATATGCTAACTAGTGTGACCTTCATTTGCTGCAGCTCTTTGCTGCTAAACTGTCCTGTCACAGCCCAGTCCTCCAGCTCCATTTCTTGGTCTTCTGGAAATAAGAATGTCCTAATATTGAAAATGAAGCATAAAAATAATAACAGTAAATAAAATTATCCATACCTGGACAAATAACCGTCTAACTGGTTACGTTTACTAGATAATACTAGAATGTTTCACTAATTTCACTAAATTAATTGAACATTTTTTTTTCTCTCGCTGCATGATTTAACTGTACTTTCTGCAGTTTGTTGTTTACATACCAGTCTACAGCGACAGAACCGGGGTTCCAAAACATCAACATAAAATCTGAGGGTTCTGACTGCAGAGGAGCAGCACCAAAATTGCAATCCAACATGACTTGGGGGATGCTGGAGAGACTGTTCAGACTGTCAAAGGAAGCAAAGGACAAGATGAAGCAAACACCATAATCTAATTACTAAGAGAAGAGTTCTTCTTAAATAAGACAGTAAACTTCAGCGCTTACTTGTCAATGAACTTCAAGTTGTATTTTTCAGAGACTAATAACACCAACTAACCTGCGCTTGGTGGGCACTTTGAAAGTAATTTCTGCAGGACATGGGGTGGAAAGCAGGTGCTCATTAAAACTGTCTAATGAGAAGAGTTTCCACAAATACTGCTTGCAGAGCCTGGCCACACTGCCACTGCTACATGCATCAACCACCTGTAAGGCGGGGAACACCCCCTTAACTTGCACTTCACACAGTTTCTTAGGAGGACATGTATAAAAGCCTGGGAAAAGAAAAAAAGAAAAAAAAAACAGACAGATGGCAGACACAAGTTAAAAAATATGTAGAGTGAATTATTAAGCATATGATGCGCTAATGTCTAATGATATTAACTATTTACCATTGGCATCTGTAATCTGGTAGCTGATGGTCCAGAGGTACCGGCCATGTGCACCCAATCTAAGAATGGATCCGAGTAGCACAGTGGAATGTGAAGCAATTGTTCCCGTTTCACGGTCCAGATGCAGAGCTTAAAAAAGCAGGAAAAACCTGATTACTTTGAAATTAGGCGAACTACTGTCAACCCAAATAGCAAAATAGAAATAACTTCAAACATGCAAAGTAAAACTCTCCTAAAGGAGGCCACAAATTACCACTGCTATCTTCAGAACCAGGGGGATTTTCTTCTAGCTGGACAGACAGATGAAAAGAGATGGGGCAGCTGCAGTTGTTCACTATAGGAATATTAACCGACCGACAGCTTCCAACTAAGCTCTCTCCCATATCTAAGAGTTCTTCCCCTGCCTGGGAAGTAAAAAAAAAAAAAAGAACATGCAGGAAGTGTTTGATCAAATTTATTTTTGTATGTTTATTTTTAATCTAGAACTACACAATATGTTTTTTTTTAATCAGATTTGGTTTGCAATAGAATAAAGGCAAATCTAACAATGTATCTAATAAATCTAATCTAATCTAATCTAATCTAATCTAATCTAATCTAATCTAATCTAATGTACGAAGCACAATGACAGACAAACCTGAATGGTGCCAGCTGCACCAATTCCTTCCACTTTAAAACTGAGTAACGACTTGTTAAAGTCATCGCTCTGGAACCTGAGAGTGGGTTTGAATGCGTATGTTTTCTCTGTCAGAGGAGAAAATGTCCACGTCTGGACCTGTGAAAAGGGCAAACTTCACATTAAAGATTGTTCTAAATATCCCAATTAAAGTCTTAAGTCCCAAACTCATCTACAGTGATATGCTAAAATGTTTATACCCCTTGGACTTGTCCACATTTTATATTTTAACAATTAATAACTTCAGTTTATTTTATTGGGATTTTAAGCTAGACCAGTACCAATTAGTGCATAGTTGTGCACTACTTTATGCAACCATCCCCAGCACAGGTGGTTGCTACAGATGGAGTTTTTACATTTATTCATGGGCTTTTTTAAGGAGCTCACAACTATCTTTTCTTGACAAACTGAAATAAAACACAAAGTAGTCATCTTTTCAGAATTATGCTTTTTGCTTTCTTTTTACTTTCATAATAAATAGGATCATAGGTATCCAGTA